GAGAGAGATGAGAGACCGAGATGGAGATGAGACGAGAGAGACGAGAGACGCATGAGTAGAATGAGAGGAGGAGACGAGATGAAGCTAGAGAGAGAGAGGAGAAGAGAGAGCAAGAGAGCGAGAGACGAGAAAAAGAGAGGAAAAGAGGGAGAAGAGAACGAGAGGAGAGAAGAGAAAACGGTGACGTACGAGACGAGACATGGCGATAGAGAGAGGTGAGAGATCGAGAAAAAGAAAGAGAGAAAGAGGACTCATGAGAAAGAAGAGGAGAGAAAGAGAGGAGAGAGAGAGATGAGAGAGAGAACGAGATAGAGAGAGAGATGGAGAGGAAGAAGGAGAGATAAGAGGGAGGACAAGAGAGAGGGAGGAGAGAGAGAGGAGAGAGAGAGGAGAAGGGAGGAGAGAGAGAAGACGAGGAAGAGGAGAGAGAGAGAGAGAGAAGAAAGGATGCCAGAGAGAGGATGAGAGCCGAAGAGAAGAGAGTAAGATACGAGAGAGAGGAGAGGAGGGACGTGAGAGGGGAGGGAGAGATGAGGGAGACGCGAGCAGAGACAGAGAATGAGAAAGACAGAGAGAGGAAAGATAGGACCGAGACACAGGAGAAAGAGGAAGAAAAGAAAGAGAGGAAAGAGAGAGAGAGAGGAGAGAGAGAGACGAGAAGAAGAGAGAGACGAGAGAGAGAAAGAGAGAGAGAGAGAGAGAAGAAGAAAGAGAGAGAAAGAGAGAGAGAGAGAAGAGAGAGAGAGAGAGAGGAGAAAGAGAGAAGAGAGAGAGAGAAAAAGAGAGAGAAAGAGAGAAAGGAGAAAAGAGAGAGAGAGGAGAGAGAGAGGGAGAGAGAGAGAGAGAGAAGAGAGAGAGAAGAGAGAGAGAGAGAGAGAGAGAGAGAGAGAGAAGAGAGAGAGACGAAGAGAGAGAGAGAGAGAGAGGCAGAGAGAGAGGAGAGAGAGAGAAAGAGAGAGAGAGAGAGAAGAGAGAGAGAGAGAGAGAGAGAGAGAGAAGAGAGAAGAGAGAGAAAGAAGAGAGAGGAAGAGAGAGGAGAGAGAGAGAAAGAGAGAGAGGAGGAGAAAGAGAGAGAGAAAGAGAGAGGAGAGAAAGAGAATAGAGAGAGAGAGAAAAGAGAGAGAGAGAGAGAGAGAGAGAGAGAAGAGAGAGAAAGAGAGAGAGAGGAGAGAGAGAAGAGAGAGAGAAAGAGAGGAGAGAGAGAGAGAGAGAAAGAGAGAGAGAGAGAGAGAGAGGAGAGAGAGAGAGAGAGAAGAAAAGAGGAGGAGAGGAGAGAAGAGATGAGAAAGAGGAGCCAGAAATGAGAGAAAGAAAGAGAGAGAAAGAGAGAAAGAGAGGAGAGAGAGAGCAGAGAGAGAGAGATGAGAGAGAGAGAGACTGAGAAGAGAGAAAGAGAGGAGAGAGAGAGAGGAGAGAGACGTGGGGGTAAGAGACAGGAATGAGCATTTCTCCACTTCCGGAATATTGATCAGGAACCGTCGTCACAGAAATGTTTTTTTTAATCTTTATGTCCAACAAATTTTCAGAATTCTTGCGATGAAAATTTCTTCCCAGACTTTAATGTCCTGTAATGTCGTTAACTGTTTCTCGTATATCCCATTTCCTCGCCTTTTATCATCGCCATTTCCTTTTTGTGGGACGTAAAAGTGATGTATAAAATATGTTGAAATATCACGTGTTGACGAACCGTTATCGGATTTCTTTTCAAAAATATTCAAAATGTATTTCGTGGCATTATTATGTATTGAACTTATTTGAGGAAACGGCAGAGAGGAGAGAGGAGAGAGAGAGAGAGAGAGAGAGAGAGAGAAAGAGACAGACAGACAGACAGACAAAGAGAAAGACAGAGACACAGAGAGACAGAGATATAGTGTGGGCGAGAGAAAAGAAGAAAAAAAAATACACAGGAAGATAGACACAGGATCAAACAGAGAAAGACAATAAATGAGATAAAAAAAAAAAAAAACAGAAAATGAAAGAAACCCAATGAAATGGGATTTATAACAAAGCCATATGAACTGCCATTATCCAACCATAGTATATATCTTTATATATATATATATATATTAAGTATAAGTATATATATATATATATATATTTTAAGTACTATATAGTATATATATATATATATATTTTTTTTAAGTATATATTATATATTTTTAATATATATATATATATTTTTTTTTAGTTTTATCCACAGGTAAAAGAACGAAAGATAACGAAAATGAATACCTTGGCGTTAATTGGATCCCGGAAGTGTGGCGGGGAATCACAGGCAGAAACGATTCTCCCGAAGACGACGCCGCTATTCATGCAGTCTTACTATTATTATCATCATTCTTATCATTAGCCTCGTCTTATTATCATTACTATATCATCATCATCATCATCATTACCATTATCATTATCATTATTATCATTATTATTATCATTATTATTATTATTATTATTATTATTATTATTTTCATTATTATTATTATTATTATTATTATTATTATTATTATTATAATTAGTTTTATCATTATCATTATTATTATTACTATTATTATTATTACTATTATTGTTATTATCATCATTATTATCATTATTATTATTATTGTTATTATTATTATCATTATCATTATCATCATCATTATTATTATTATTATTATATCATATTATTATCATTCATTATTATCATTGTTATTGTATCATTCATTATTTATCATTATCATCATTACCATTTATCATTATCATTATTCATCATTATTATATCATCATTATCATTACCATTACCATTATTACTATCATTATTATCATCATTATCATTGTTATTGTAATGATACTAATTAATATAATTGCCTAAGACGCTCGCCAAGGAATCCGTAATGATGAGCCAGCGATGACCGCCTCGCGAAGAGAAATATAAATAAAAAATAAATAAATAAAGATAAAAGTTCGCTAAGATTATAAATAATAAATAAAAGATAAAAAAAAAATAAACTGCTTGTTTTTGTTCTTCTTTTTATATCATATTATCATTATCGTTATCATTATCATCTCTGAGAGAGAGAGAGAAGAGACGAGAGAGAGAGAGAGAGAGAGAGAGAGAGAGAGAGAGAGAGAGAGAGAGAGAGAGAGAGAGAGAGAGAGAGAGAGAGAGAGAGAGAGAGAGAGAGAGAGAGAGAGAGAGAGAGAGAGAGAGAGAGAGAGAGAGAGAGATCCTTATACCTCCAACTGCTCTGTTTACGTCACGCTAGCGAGGTCGCGTCTGCTTACGTCACTAAAGAAAAAGGCCTATGAATGCATTTATCCTACGTCATTTATTTGAATCTATTAATTCGCGTAATTACGAGATAAGAAAGGTTTTACACGGAGGTAGAATAAACAATTTATTGTACTCTGTCGAATTCCATAGCTGATTCATGGAGCGGAAATGCGATCGGGAAGTCTGGTCACGAACTAAAGTAGTGACGTCATAGTCTCCCCTGCGTCGATTGGCTGGAAGACCCCTCTGACGTCATGATATCCATCCCGGAAAACACTCCAGCGAACCAATTACCGGCCGAAGAATGCAGTGTGACGTCATAGTACAAGGTACTCTTTCCTGACGTCCATGCAGCGTCCTGTTTCAATATCGTTCTTGCATAATCATTTTCTAAAACAGTAGACGGCTTGCGCAAGATCAGCTAATGAGAAATTGAACATCCGACGCCCTTCCTACAGAATGCGGATGTATAAGGAGGAATTACAACATATACTGATACTCATGGACAACATATGTGTGTCGTCTTCAAGATATCTCGACATCATAGTTAAACTCCAACAACATATGACTGATTTTTCTTACCTTCTCTATAATCTAGTGATGTAGACATATGTGCACACACATGGATACGTCTGCACATACATGCTTATATGAATAGAACGGAAAATATGTTATACGCGAGAAGAATGAAAGAATAAGGAACATTTACTTTAGCAAAGCATTAAAGGAAATTCTATGTGATTATAATTATTATTGACTTATTATCAGCATCATCATCATCATTATCACATTATCTCATTACTACTATCGTCATTATCATTATCAATATTATTAGAATTAATATCATTATTGTTATTGTTACCACCATCATCATCTTTAGCAGTGATATCATCAATATCATTATCATAATCATTATTACTACTATTATCATTATCATTACCAATATGATTATCATTATTATCATTGTTGTTATTGTTTTTTTATTATATTATTGATGTTACTATCATCATCGTTATAATTATCCATATTATCATTATCATTATCAACATCATTATTATTGTTATTATCATTATTATCCATATTATCATCAACATTGTTATTATCATATCTATTATTTTCATTACAATCATTATCATTATAATCTTCATTATTGTCATTATTATCATCTTTATTATATTATTATCATCAATATTATTGCCATCATTATTATCATCATCATCATCATCATCATTATTATTATTATCATTAATATCATTACTATTATCATTATTTTCATCACCATCATCGTTATCATTATTTTCATCACCATCATCGTTATCATTATTATCATCATTATCATAATCATTACTACAATTATCATCATCATCATTATTCCATCACTATTTTTACTATCATCAAAACTTCTATCCCACTGACATGCAAGCGACTTCATCTCTATTGTCTGCACACCACATAACCACACACGCGCACCAGTTTCATCCCCCCATGTGTCTTGTGATTCACGTGTTTCATATCACGGTGTTGTAGATAGTAGGTCCTGATGGTACGGCCAGACACCA